GGAATACGTCGTGTACTTTGCTCAGTTCTTGGGGTAACTTTAGTCGATACGCAACAGGACCAATTCTGTTAAGAATTTCGAAGGGTCCAATGTATCTTGGGTTAAGCTTTCCTCTTTTGCCAAACCGAATCATACCCTTCCAGGGCGAGACTTCTAGCATCACTCGATCTCCAACTTGGAATTCTAGAGGTTTACGCCTTATATCAGCATAGCTTTTCTGACGGTCACGTCCTGCCTTAAGTCGATCCTTGATTTGAATGATCTTCTCGGTCGTTTCATGGATTATCTCTGGCCCAGTACGCAAGGTGTCATTTGTGTGTGCTCAGTCCAATTGGGTATCCCCGACCTTTGCCCAACATATAGGCGATCGACATTTGCGTCCATATAAAGCTTCGAATGGTGCTGCTTTCAAGCTGGTGTGATAACTATTATTATATGAAAACCCAATCAACAGTAGATGAGTATCCCAAGAATTTATAAAGTCAATTACACAAGACCGTAGCATATCTTCTAGGGTCTGAATGGTTCGTTCACTTTGACCATCTATCTGTGGGTGGTAAGCTGTGCTCATATCCAAGCGGGTTCCCAGGGATTTGTGAAGTGATTGCCAGAACCTTGATGTGAACCTACTATCCCTATCCGAGATAATAGAGGTTGGCACTCCATGAAGCTTGAAAATTTCCCTGAGATATGTTCTCGTCAGCTTTTCCATTTTGTTAGTTTCCTTGATTTGTAGAAAATGGGCAGACTTAGTTAATCTATCAACCACTACCCAAATAGTGTCATAACAACTAGGAGTCTTGGGCAGCTTTGTGATAAAGTCCATTGCAATTTACTCCCATTTCCACTCGGGAATCTCCGGTTGTTGCAGTAATCCTGAGGGCTTTTGATGCTTTGCCTTGACTTTAGAGCAAGTCAAGAATTTGCCCACATAAGTGGCAATCTCAGCCTTCATATTAGGCCACCAACATAACTTCTTCAGATCTAAATACATCTTGTCGGAGCCAGGATGTACGGAATATCTTGATCTGTGAGCTTCGTCCATGACTAGGCTCCTATTGTTACCAAACTTGGGTACCCAGATTCTGTTCATGAAATAACAAGTTCTATCGTCCTTAAGCTCAAAATGTTTATCCATTCCCCGTAAAGCTTCTTCTCCAACATTCTCCTCTTTCAGAGCATCTAGTTGAGCTTCCCGAATACGGGTATTAAGGTTTGAATGGATGGTCATAGTTAGCGCTTTTACTCATCGCAGTTTCTTATGCTCTTTACGACTTAAAGCATTAGCTACAACATTTGCTTTTCCAGGATGATACCGAATCTCACATCCGTAATCATTCAATAACTCAATCCATATTCTTTGCCTCATATTTAGTTCTTTTTGATCAAATATGTGTTGGAGACTCTTATGGTCAGTAAAAATGATACATTTTGTTCCATATAAGTAATGTCTCCAAATCTTCAAGGCAAAGACTACTGCTCACAATTCTAGGTTGTGGGTTTTGTAGTTGTTTTCATGGATTTTGAGTTGTCGTGAAGCATATGCAATAACCTTCTCTCTCTGCATTAAAACGCACCCCAATCCTTGAATTGACGCATCACGTATACAACAAAATCTTCGATTCCTTTAGGTAAGGATAGGATTGGTGTGCTACACAACATCTGTTTCAACTTTTGGAATGCAACTTCTTGCTTATCTCCCTAGTCGAACTTTATTTCTTTTTGTGCTAATGAAGTGAGTGGCTTTTCTATCTTGGAAAAATTCTCTATGAATCTTCTATAGTAGCCAGCAAGGCCTAAGAATTGTCACACTTCGGTTGGCGTTCTTGGTGCATCCCAATTCTTAACTGCTTCGATTTTTGTGGGATCCACATGCATTCCTCTGTTGCTCACTACATGCCCTAGGAAATGTACCTCTCTAATCCAAAATTCACATTTAGAGAATTTTGCGTACAACTTTTCCTTTCTTAACAGTTCCAAGATCAATTTCAGATGTTGGCCGTGTTCCTCTTTAGTTTGTGGGTAGATTAGAATGTCGTTGATAAACACTATAACGAACTTATCTAAGTATGGTTTGCATAAATGATTCATGAGATCCATGAATATAGCTGGAGCATTGGTCAATCCGAAGGGCATAACTAGAAACTCAAAGTGACCGTATCGAGTTCTAAATGCAGTTTTCGAAACATCTGCTTCTAATACTTTTAGCTGATGATATCCAGATCTTAGATCTATCTTCGAATAGAAACTAGATCCCTGGAGTTGATCGAACAGGTCATCTATTCTAGGGAGTGAATAACGGTTCTTGACTGTCAGTTTGTTCAACTCCTGATAATCTATACACATCCTGAAAGAACCATCTTTCTTCTTGACGAATAAGACCGATGCTCCCTAAGGTGAAAAGTTTGGTCTAATAAAACCCTTGTCAAGTAGTTCTTGCAGTTGACTTGAAAGCTCTTGCATTTCCGAAGGTGCCAATCTATAAGGATATCTCGCTACTGGATTTGCTCCCGGAATTAAATCAATTCGGAACTCGACACTGCGACTTGGTGGCAATCCAGCCAGATCTTCAGGAAATACATCGGGGGTAGTTGCATACGTGAGGTATGTCTTTGATTTCTTTCGTCTTGCTCTTCGTGTCTACTACGTGCACCAAGAAGGCATAATACTTCTTGTGTAGATATTTTTGAGCCTTAGTGCAAGAAATAAGCTTCAAGTTTTGACCCGACTTGTCTCCGTAGATTATCATGGTCTCTTCGTTAGGTAGAGTTAGTCGTACAGCTTTTTCGAAACAAAGAATTTCAGCATGATGCAGAGACAACCAATCCATGCTGATAATGATGTCGAAACTCCCAATATTCATTGGCATTAAGTTGACATAAAATGTGTGGTCGTTAAAGTTAAGAGGCAACTTCGTAAGGTTTCGGTGGTGTTTTCTATGTGACCGTTTGCTACTTCTACTTCGTATGCTACGTCTAATTTACTAGACTCGTGATTTAATAGTTCTTTAAATGATGGAGTTACAAAACTTCTATTGGCACCGGAGTCAAATAGAATTGTAGCATACAAGTTATTGATAAGGAACGGACCAGTAACCACCGATGGATCTTGTATGGCATCTTTGTTCCCTATCACGAAAGCCCGACCACGAGCACTCCCATCGCCCTTCTTCAACTTTGGGCAATTTCGCTTGATGTGCCCTTTTTCTCCACATTCAAAACAAGCTCCTCCTCCACTAGAACCCGATCTATTACCCCTTCCTAGTACTGCATCAACTATTGACATTCCCCGACAAAAGTTTTTCGTATGACCTTTCTTATTGAATTTGGCACAATGGAAACATTCTCCCTTGTGGTGTCGGTTGCATTGATTAAATAAGGGCATATTCCCAATGTAACCCTTTTGTTGGATTGGAACTTGTTGAATTGGAACTGGGGATGGTACCATAGCATATACCTTTTCCTTTTGAGGCTTTTTCTGTTGGTTCTGGTTCGCTCCATTGAACTTGCATTTATGGTGGTTGTTGCTAACCTTTGGAGTTTCAACTTTCTTTACCATTACTCCATTTTCGATTTCATTCTTGATCAATTGCATAGCTAGACGTTTAGCACTGAGATATGTGGTAGGTTTTGATGAAAGTACCATTCCTTTTATTTTTGGAGCCAGACCCCATATATAATGCTCCACTTTCTTGACTTCTGGTTTCACCATGCCTGGACAGAGGAGTGAAAGATTATTAAACCTTGTTGTGTAAGCCTTGACTTTAGAACCTTTCATCTTTAAGTTCCAAAGCTCATGTTCTAGGCTCTGTACTTCTTCTCGGGGGCAGTATTCCTCTATTAAAAGTTCTTTCATGCTCTCCCATGACATTGAGTTGGCCACTGAGATACCCAAGGTTTTTACATGGTCAGTCCGCCATGTTAGGGCTCCATCCATCAAGGTGCATGCAGCAAACCACACTTTGCTACCTTCAGAGTAGTAGCATATGTCAAAAACAGATTCAACTTTTTCGAACCAACGAGTTAAACCAACAACACCTTCGTTGCCATAAAAGTTTCTTGGCTTGCAACTCATGAAGTCCTTGTAGGAACAAGTTCTTCTAGGCTCTTCAGGATGTGAGTGTAGAGTGCTTCCAGCTCCGTTTCCCAGTCCATTCACTTCCACGACTTGTCTTCCATCATTCAAACTCCTCGTAGTCGCCATTGCAATAGTATTGCATTCTGAAACTAGTTGTTCCAATTCTGCTGTAGTTTGAGGAAGTCCAAACTCGGGAGGTGGTGGAATTGGAGCGCTAGAAGTTGGCGTTTCCGTTACTGGAGTCACAACCGGCCCTCTGGCTGGTCGACCTCTCCGGGTTCGTCCTAATGTTGGTTTGGTAGTTGGTGTTACTTCGGGGTTTGCTCTTGTGTTCCTTCTTGGAGGCATTTTGATTCCCTAATTCATTTAGTAGTAAAGGTTAAGTTTGTGATGTTTTTGTTAGCTTTCACATAATGTTATTATTCATGATTCACGATTTATATAATAGTTCAAAAATATATATATATTTTTAAACTTAATAACATCTGCTTCATTATATTAAACATTAACATCGGAGTATAATAGTCTTTACCATTCTCAAAATGTAAAGACTTAAGATTAGTGGTACAAAGACCAACTAATAAACAAATAAAGTTTACACATGCTTACATATCCAAACACATATCCGAAAAGTTTGCTACCCAAAATTTGCAAGTTTCTCGGAAACTCAACTAATTAGTTTTATAAAAACTAAAAAATTTGTCCACCGAGCGGGACATGTCATCATATTTTTCTTCTAGTATTTTATGTTTTTCCTCTAGTGATTCATGTTTTTCTTCTAGAAAAGCATGCCTCTCCTCGACTCCGTGTGCCACTGAAAATGCAATTTGGTTTTGAGTTTCCACATTGGTTACTCTTGAATCGAAATAAGTCCAGCTATTATGGCGGTAGTCCATCTCTTGACAGAGATTGTCTTGCAAGATCTAATACTGCTCTTGTAGTTGCTTCATTCGGACCATTTCTTCCTTCCTTTTTATGGATTGACCCTGCATGTTGCTTAGTTTGTCACTGACGTGCCACATTTGTCCGTGCAATCGGACGTTCTGCTCAAGTAGGAAGGACAATTTGTCAATGTCCATGTCAGAAGTAGGTGCAGCTCCAGATGTTTGTCCTTCTTCAAATGTTCCTGCCGTCCGCTTTCCGGTCGTCCTTTGGTTCTCATAGTTGCTTTCCGAAACAGGTGGTTCCATCGTCTTTTTGGTGCGAGGGGACCTCAAGTTATATTTTATAGTAACGGGTTTTGGGACCGAAATCCTAGCGGTTTTTCTTGAACGGCAGAGTGAAAATCCAAGGAAAGAGCGGCTGGGAGAAGGTGGAATTGAAGCGGGTGACTCTGAATCGGTTATTATTATTACCTCATCTTCATCCATATCTTCTTCGGGATCATCCTTAGGTTCCTCCTCCATCTCCTCTTCCGGATCCTCATCTGGATCTTCTTCAGGCTCGAACTCATCAGATTGCATCGATGCATGTTCAGCTGGAGAAATGGGTTGGTACACAGATGCATAGTCGGGGAAATAGGGATCTCCCGGTAGCACGTGAAACATGGGCTCGTCTGCTGGTGGTATGATTGATCTCCATAAATATTTAATCTAAACGAAGAACTAATTAGTATTTCAGATATGTTACACAAAATTTACACATATAAATAAAAGAAAGTCTTATCGACTTTTATTGACTTGTGATCATACTTTTACTTGTAAAACGCCAAGTTTTTAGCTTATCAACTAGTTCGCTTAGGTTGGATAATCCATGAGGCCCAACCAAAATAAAACTTAGGCGTACATCTAGGTTTAGTCATGGTATGACCTATGTTTTAAGAAACCTAATTGAGTATTTGATCTAAATTCTTGTGTTTAAGTTTATTAGATTCTTAACTTTTAAGTGTTGTAGGATAAGGATATTTCTTAAACCTACTAGAGTAAGCCCTAGACTATAGTTGCATTTTTCTTAAAAATAAAATACTAAGTTCTCTATAGTCGCTAGCTCTGATACCAATCTGTCACACCGCGACCCGCGGCGGAAATCGTCGGGGTTGCGACGTTATACAATTGGATCACAGTCAACCACATATATCGAACACTTAATATATTTAAATCAATATGTTACAAACCTTAAAGTGTTGGAATTGAAATTACATATTCATAGTTTAAACACACAACAGTAAATAAAAACAGTTCAAGATTATTCCCAAAAGAAAGGAACTATAATTTCCTTAGAACCGATGTCCTACCTCCGGCTCCTTAGTTACCTGAGAATACACATTTTTAAAATATGTCAACAAAAATTGTTGGTGAGTTCCATAGGTTTTGACTCCGTAGGTTTTATAACATGAAATTTTTATAAAACATGGGATGTTTAACAAAGTAAATTGTGCAAAACATGGCCAACAATGTTACCGATATGCTTCGTATGAGAACCGATACTTGAAATCTAATACCATGACAACCTCTTCCATGATGCCTAGAAAGATGGTGTTCAACTCATGATATAACAACCCTTTGTGATATTATTAGAACAAAGGTATACATAAAAATTTTACATGTGTTTAACAACTTAAAAATAACCCACAAGTTGTTATGAATAACTAGTTGTAATATCTAACTTAATCTGTCATCATCTATGTTAAGTCCTCCCAAAGAATACTTTCGTCACGAGCCTTTGAGAAACCGGGAACATCTTGACATCTTTGAACCCAATAACGACACGCAACTAAAGTGAGTTTTCTACGGCCCCTCTTTTATGTTTTACAAGTTTTGGGGGAGAATACACACTAAAAAAATTATAGTTGAAAGATTTAAAGGCTTTACTAACTAAAAATACAAGTTATGTCACTAAACATATCTAAGCTCAAATTTCAGCTTTTCACAGTAAAGTTATGGTCTATTCACGGACTGTTTTTCCCTCCTTAAACTCAATGGATTTCAAAACTGTACGATATGAAAGTAGTTCCTGTTTATACCTTTCCAAGGACTACTTGCACATATTCATACGATTTTTCTACAATTTATAATGATTTTTACAAAACTGTCTATCATTTCAGAACATTTTCGGACCTGTCTGTAAAAATGAGCATTTTCACTCAGGTTAGGAATCACTTAAGCTTAGGATAAAAATTATGGACAAATTAGACTCATTTTCTAAACTTTTAGAGTTTACGGATCCAGATTTCAACTTATGATGATTTTTCTATGATTTTTCCAAAAACATGGACAGAATTGCCCTTTTTGATTTATCTTGCTGTTTGGACTTTCAAATATATATACAAAGTGTTGTGATAAATAAGAAGTACACCGATTATGATATTGTTTGGTTCACACATACTTTAATAGTTACAAAAGTGTAAATTATAAAAAGTACTTCTAATATTATCATGTTGAAAACCTCATAAGATATGATGATTTGGACTACGTCGATTTTGGTCACTCACAGCCGGGGTGCTGTATAAACTTTGTTATTCACTTACAGTCAGAGTACTGTCTAAACATATATATGGTCACTTACAGTCGATGTACTGTTTAAACTCGTATAGGGACACATATGACCGTTGTCCTGTTAGAACTTTGGTAGTTTTACATTTTTAAGCATTACAGCCAAAAGTCTTTAAATCCAAACAATCGGGAATTATAACAAAGTCCCGGAAATAAATATACTAAGACACACTGGGATGAGGTTGTATGTAGTATGAATATTGTTTGTAGATTGTTAAAACGATTGTTAGTGTCTATCTATACAAACACTAAATATTTTGCTTCTCATAAATATGTTAAAATTTACTTTTATGATAAGTAACATAGGTACTCGTATTAGATTTCAAGTATCGGTTCTCATACGAAGCATATCGGTAACATTGTTGGCCATGTTTTGCACAATTTACTTCGTTAAACATCCCATGTTTTATAAAGATTTCATGTTATAAAACCTATGGAGTCAAAACCTGTGGAACTCACCAACAATTTTTTTTGACGTATTTTAAAAATGTGTATTCTTAGGTAACTAAGGAGCCGGAGGTAGGACATCGGTTCTAAGGAAATTATAGTTCCTTTCTTTTGGGAATAATCTTGAACTGTTTTTATTTACTGTTGTGTGTTTAAACTGTGAATATGTAATTTCAATTCCAACACTTTAAGGTTTGTAACATATTCATTTAAATATATTAAGTGTTCGATATATGTGGTTGACTATGATCCAATTGTATAACGTCGCAACCCCGACAATTTTCGCCGCGGGTCGCGGTGTGACACTCAAACTCTGTACTCTGACTCCGAGTCTTACTTAATTTGGTATTGCTCTAGATGGGTAATTCTCCTTTCTTGGATTCCTCCATTCCGAAACGCTTCAACACTTTGTCCAAGTAGGTACTTTGACTAAGTCTTATTAGTCTTTTACTCCTGTTTCTCACTATCCTTATCTCTAGTATATAAGCAGCTTCTCCGAAGTCCTTCATAGAGAAACACTTCCCAAGCCAGGACTTAACCTCCTGTAAGCTTGGAATGTCATTTCCTATGAGCAGTATATCATCCACATACAACACGAGAAAGCTAACTATACTCCCATTAGCTTTGACATATACACATGACTCATCCTTGCTTCTCGAAAATCCCAACTCTTTAACTTTCTCATTGAAAAAAAGATTCCATCTGCGAGCTGCTTATTTCAATCCATCAATATATTTCTCAAGCTTACACACTCTATTAGGGTACTTTTCATTGACAAAAACCTTTGGCTGATTCATGCAAACATCTTCAGCCAACTTCCCATTAAGGAATGTGGTTTGACATCTATTTGCCATATTTCATAATCATGAAATGCAGCAAAGGCTAGCATAACCCTTATAGATTTAGTCTTATCCACTGGTGAGAAGGTCTCATAATAGTCAACTCCAAGAGTTTGAGTAAAGCCCTTCACAATCTATCATGCCTTACAAGTGTGTATTTTCCCATCCATGTCAGTCTTCTTTTTGAAGATCTATTTGCACCCGAATGTCTTACGGCCTAGTACACTGTCAACCAAGTTCCAACTTGATTGTCATACATAGACTAATCTTGCTGTCCATTGCCTCTTTCCATTTAGCAGACTCAGGGCTGACCATGGCTTCCATGTAGTTGTTAGGTTCATCCAAGTTCACCAGTGTACTATCACTGAAAAATGTATCACCTTCAGAAGTTATATGGAAACCATAAAATTCAGGTGCCTGTCTAAATCTACTGGAACGTCTTAGAGGTAGGGATTCGTCAATCGGTTCAATAGGAGTTTTCTTCTTGGGTTGAGTGCTAGTGTCTGAGGTTCCTTCATCGCTTAACTCTTGAAGCTCTTCAAGGTCAATTTGCCTCCCAATGTCCTTTTGGCATATGAGTTCTCTCTCTCGAAAGAATCATCTGCTTACAACGAAGAGAACATTGTGACCTCTATCTATAGAAGAGATATCCAAAGGATTTCTATGGGTAGCCGATGATAATACATCACTCAATTCACGGTTCGAGCTTGCCGTGAGTTTCCTTTCTCAGAAAAGCCTCGCAACCCCAAACCTTGAGGTGTGCTAATGAGGGAACCTTCCCTTTCCACATCTCATGAGGTGTTTTGGAAATCTTTTTAGTTGGGAAAAGATTAAGGATATGGGAGACAGTCTTTAAGGCATACCCCCAGAATGAGATAGGTAACGGAGCTCGACTCATCATAGAATGAACCATGTTCAACAAGGTTCGGTTGTGCCTCTCAGCCACACCATTAAGCTTTGGTGTCCTAGGTGGCGTCAATTGTGAAACAATTCCACATTCCTTAAGATAGCCGTGGATCTCGATACTAAGATACTCTCCTCCCCGATTGGATTGGAGCATCTTTATCTTCCTGCCCAGTTGATTCTCCAATTCTTGTTTAAACTCTTTCAATTTTTCAAAGGTTTCTGACTTATGCTTGATTAAGAAGACATACCCATATCTACTATAACATCAGTAAAAGTCACATAGAAGCGGTTAGCATCCCTTGTGGCAGATCTGAAGGGTCCACACATATATGTGTGTATGAGGTCCAACAAACCCTTACCCATTTCACATGAGCCAGTGAATGGTGACTTGGTCATCTTTCCAAGCAAACAATATTCATAAGTATCATGAGACTTTAAGTCAAATGACTTTAAGACTCCATCCTTTTGGAGTTGGGCTATGTGTTTCTTGTTAACATGTCCAAGATGACAATGCCATAAGCATGCTTTATCCAAACTATTGGACGAATCGATTTGCAACACATTATTTCCTAAGTTATCTACAACCATCACAGTTTCATATATACCATTACAAGGTAATGCTTCAAAATACAATATACCATTATAATAAGCATTAAAACTAGTAATTTTATTATTAAAAGAAAAGGTAAAACCTTGTTTATACAAAACTATGAAATAAAATACTACTTCTCGCCATATCAGACGAGTAACAACAATTATTCAATTCTAAATTTAACACACTACTAAGCAAAAAAGTATAAACTCCAATCTTGGTGGCAGGCGACCTTTTCCTATTCCCCATGATCAAGTTCATCTTCCCGTGCT